TCAGCGTGCGCAGTGGCCCTGCAGTCAAACTCTCTCTCTGATATTCTGGCACTTTGGCTGCCATGATCAGGTCCTGGCACAGTGTAGAGCTACAAGATGCCAAGAGCAAAAGTGGGCATCGCTGCTTCTGAACCAGAGCGGGCCACCATCCCTGTGCAACGAATGTCACTATCTCCCAGAGCAGATGATTGATTGGCTCTGTTCTGGGTGCAGAGTGCAGCTGTTCATTGCAGTCCTTGGCCTGGCAAGAGAGTAGCAACTTGGATGAGTTGGGACTTCGCAGGCAGCTCTGCCTGGCTTTTGTAACCGGGCGAGGGCGGAACTAGACATTACGAGATGCACTCGCAGCTGCTCCTGAAAACAGCCGCTGCCTTTTGACTCCTCCCCCCCTTCCCTGCCTGTGGCATGAAGTACAGCTGTGTCCCATTCCTTAGTGCCACACCGTTCCACATTAACCCCAACTCACCCCTCTCACTGGTCGCTGGCTGAGATGGGGATCTGCAAAAACCCAGGTGGGTCATGGATGTTGTACTAGACCTTAGAGCAGAGGTAGTCAACCTGGTCCCTACTGCCTACTAGTGGGCGTTTCAGGATTCCAGGTGGGCAGTAGGGGGTTCTACACCACATGTTACTGCAGCACTGGTGGGTGGTAAGGAGATTTTACCATCAAGAACAATGCATTAGTGGGCAGTAGGTATAAAAAGGTTGACTACCCCTGTGTTAGAGAATGTCAGGAGCGAGCCAGCAATAAATCACACGGAGTAAGTGACGTTAACTCTTTAATAGCAGAAACAAGGCCATCTCAGGAGTGCCAGGCCTAAGGAGCACAACAACTCTTCTTGGTAAGTCTTTCCCCCATGAGGCAGTTGTGGAGATGGCCTTCCCATAGCTATCTAAGACTCCTGCTCTCCTGGGTCCTTCCCAAGCAATATGAGACTCCACCAGCACACCTGTCTCTGCTCCTCTCACTTCACACCTCTCCTGGTCCTGGGAGACCAGGGCGAAGGGGAGCTTGTCACAGCAGAAGGGGGAGACACCCTGGCTTCTTCACCAGCCTGACTCATCTCTGCCTCTTGGCCTCCCTCCTCTTCTGCTTCAGCTTCTGCCTCTGATTTTGGACTGCTCTCTGCCACAACCTCTTCCTGCTCACTAAACCCTGTTACGTCTTCAGCTTCTGGCACCTCCTCCTCCCAGTTTTCTCCCTCATCTCCCTCTGACCACTTATCATCGTCCCACCACCAATCCCCAAGCTCTGAGCCTTCTTCCTGGGAGGGCCTCCCACCATTCACTTGCATCCAGCCAGTCCACGACATTGAAGGGGAGATGAGAGCTAGGCACGTAGCTGCTGGTTTCTTGGTGGCAGCCACGCACTTCTCATGACACCTTGCTTCACCCTGCGCACTTTGTTCTGGTGTGGGAAGAAGGGCTCAGTGCTCCAGCCCTGGAAATAGTAATAGAGTGCATCTGAGCGCTTGGAGCATGCCTCTTCCTCGCCACCGAGTCAGCACAGTCATTCACGATTTAATTGAGATTGCAGGTCAGAGATCACATCCAGCTAGCTTCCTCCCCAGCCTTGGAAATGAAGGACTGGTCATTTCTTGCTGGTAGTAGTAGCTGATATCCAGGAGGTGCAGTTCCTCAGCTGTGAAGTAGCAAATGCTTCCTTCCCTAAGGACTAATCTAGAAGAGGACATTTCTTGCTAACGTAAGGGGAGGTTCAGAACGCGTCCAGACTGGGCGGTGAGGTATCGCCCATTGGTTTGTCCTTTCCTCCTTTTGTCCATTATAAGCAAGCACCTGTTCTTCCCTCCCAAGAAGCTGAACTCTACTCACACAGCTGAACTGAAACCTCCGAAAATGTCGTGCCACAGATCCATTGCTGTCCAGCGAGGCATTGGCAATTTGTGCCTCAAATCAAAACGTTTGCTCCCATTTGCGTTTTGGAGGGGCATGTGCTGTTGTGGATTCGGCTTCGGCAGAATATATAATTGCAGCCTGCTAATTTATGGCCTGGGACGCAGGTGGCGCTGTAGTCTAAACCACAGAGCCTAGGGCAGGGGTAGGTAGCCTAAGGCCCGGGGGCCGGATGCAGCCCAATCGACATCTCAATCTGGCCTGCAAAAATCAGCGTGTTTTTACATGAGTAGAATGTGTGCTTTTATTTAAAATGCATCTCTGGGTTATTTGTGGGGCATAGGTATTCGTTCATTCCCCCCCCCCCAAAAAAAATAGATTGGCCCACCACATGGTCTGAGGGACGTTGGAGCGGCCCACAGCTGAAAAAGGTTGCTGACCCCTGGCCTAGGGCTTGCTGATCAGAAGGTTCGAATCCCCGCCACGGGGTGAGCTCCTGTTGCTCAGTCCCTGCTCCTGCCAACCTAGCAGTTCGAAAGCACGCCAGTGCAAGTAGATAAATAGGTACTACTCTGGCAGGAAGGTAAATGGCGTTTCTGTGTGCTGCTCTGGTTCGCCAGAAGCAGCTTAGTCATGCTGGCCACATGACCTGGAAAGCTGGCCAGTAAAGCGAGATGAGCACCGCAACCCCAGAGTCATCTGTAACTGGACTTAACAGTCAGGGGTCCCTTTACCTTTAATTTATGGCCTCTGCTGTGCAGGTATCCTGGCACCACTTCTACGTGATGAAAGCAAGGTGGGAGAATTTGCTTCAGGCTACCTATTCTAAACAGAAGGGATGTTAGGTCCCTGGCTTCCAGTCCATGGCCACAAGGAATTTCCTGCATGGCACTTTGAAAGTGCAAAGCAATATACAGCATCTGTTTACAATTGCCACCACAACCAGTGTTAGAAACTCAGATATAGAAGCTAGGCACCAAATGGCTCCTTAAACCCACGTTACAGTCGCCAAAATGGAATGTCTAGTTGCCGTTTGGGGGCAAGCCTTATTTTTCAAATGATGGGCTGACTGTGGCTGATTCTCAGTTAAACACCTGGCTGGTTCAAATGACAGCCTTGAGCTAGCTTAGGAACTTTGAGAACTTAAGGAGGAAAAGTCACTTGATCCAGGGACAGTCCACATATATATAGGGCTATTCCTAGCTCTTTTTCTTAATGGTGACCTGGACCATTCATATTGCAGGAATAGTCTTCAGAACTGTGAACAGGGCACAGTTTGGTACAGTTTACTATAACTTTGTTGACTGCTCCTGCTCAGGCTGCACAGAAAAAGCATTTTGGTTCCAGAAATCCATTCTGATTGAGCAGATAAAATATAATTGATAGAATTCTACAGGGTGGGGTATTCATTTGTGAAAACAGTCCCGATCCAATGATCCCCAGATGGTGGAGATGTCAGGCACCATCCTGGAGCCCAGGCATCTTGACTTGGTTGTTAGTAGACAATAGTAAAGGTAAAGGGACCCCTGACCATTAGGTCCAGTCGTGGCCGACTCTGGGGTTGCGGCGCTCATCTTGTTTTATTGGCTGAGGGAGCCGGCGTACAGCTTCCGGGTCATGTGGCCAGCATGACTAAGCCGCTTCTGGCGAACCAGAGCAGCGCCCGGAAACGCCGTTTACCATCCCTCCGGAGTGGTACCTATTTATCTACTTGCACTTTGACGTACTTTCGAACTGCTAGGTTGGCAGGAACAGGGACCGAGCAACGGGAGCTCACCCCGTCACGGGGATTCGAACCTCCGACCTTCTGATCGGCAAGTCCTAGGCTCTGTGGTTTAACCCACAGCGCCACCCGTGTAGCTAGGTGTAAAATGTGCCTGGCACCTGGCTAATTTTGAACGCTGCTCACAGCCCTCTAAGACCAGTTGTTGTTTCCATTTTACAGATGGGAAGTGGGAAGCTATAATTTGCCCATGGACACCCAATGAGAAACGATGAGGGAATTGGGACTTGAAAATAGACAGTTGGCTTTCCTGAATATCTATCAGGACTCTGGAGACTCTTAGACAGGAAGAGGGATAATTTTGTTGTGTGGCGATCCTTACCTTATTATCCTAGGTCTGCTTTGGTGGTCAAACGCCAGTTGCTAGACCCTCAATCTTTTCTTAAGTGCTTGGGCAGCTATGCTTTTTTATTCCTGGTCTCCTGGATTCCTCCTCTTCTGGGCTCTGAAACTTAAAGCAATTCTGGCTGGAGGAAAAGCAACCTTTGGAAAACACTTTGGCAAGAAAAGAGGTTAAGCCTCCTGCACTTGCATTACTTCTGCAAACTGGGGTTTGTAGAAACTGTGTGTAGTTCTAGCTTTTTTAAAAAAAACAGGTGTTGCCTCATTTTGCAGGTTGAGAACCTTCTGGGCCTCCAAACTGGATAGATTGTGTTTTGTATCTTGTATTTTTTTATGTTGGGAACCTCCCTGAAATCTACGAATGAAAGGTGGTATACAAATTAATTAAATTAATCTAAATTAGGAGGGCATTCAGGTGTGCACGCACCCCAGGAAAGTTGAAATGAACTGGGCAGGGTAATGCTTGACGAATCCGCATACAAAAGGACTTAAATGCACATGTTTCCCAAATCTGATAGACACTCTTTTAAACAGTTTCTTAATTATGAGTTGAGGAGCTTTAAAACAACCACAATATAAAACCAGGGTGTGAGCATGGATCACTTACTATCTAATGGAAACCATTTATCATTCAGTCCTGCAAATTCAAAATTTCCAGATTTTAATTTAGAAAAATGTGTTGGCTCTGTGTGGAATTCTGTTTCAGCTGTTAGGGGATAAGCCCTCTGAGTTAAAAGGCTAAATGCCATGTATAATCTCAATAAAAGGTAAAGGTACCCCTGCCCGTACGGGCCAGTCTTGACAGACTCTAGGGTTGTGCACTCATCTCGCTTAAGAGGCCGGGAGCCAGCGCTGTCCGCAGACACTTCCGGGTCACGTGGCCAGCGTGACGAAGCTGCTCTGGCGAGCCGGAGCCGCACACGGAAACGCCGTTTACCTTCCCGCTATAATTCAAATCTCAATACAAACTCAATATAATCTCAATACAAACAAGCTAATGTTATGTGTGTTTCTCACACAGGCTCAACATACTATGACAATGTGCGGCCCCTTGCCTATCCTGACTCGGATGCTGTTCTCATCTGCTTTGACATTAGCCGCCCAGAGACCTTGGACAGCGTCCTTAAAAAGGTGAGCCAGCTAGAATATACTGGGGAGTTTGGGATGGGGCAGGGGATGATCTTTCAGTTTGGGGAGAGCTGAGATCTTGGAAGATACAGCGGGACTCCAGAATCACAGTTGTGCTACAGGCTCTAAGCTGGCTTTGAAGACACTCGAACTCAGGACGCAAGGGAGAAACGTGCTAAGAGGAAGGCATGCTTGGCAAATCCTCACCGTGATCAACTCCCGCCCGGAAACCAATGTCCCCACTGTGGAAGGACGTGTAGATCCAGAATTGGCCTCCACAGTCACTTACGGACTCGTCGTGAAAACATTGTTTATGGAAGACAATCTTACTCAGCTACGAGGGATCGCCAAAGAAAAAGAAGAAGAACAACAACAGGCTCTAAGCTTTGGTTTCTGGCATAGTTTCCCTTCTGGAGCTTTCGTTCTGGGAATTTGGGGATGGGACTCCAGGGGAAAGACTCTAGTCCTCATACCTAGAATATCTCTGACAACTTGCCGGCAAATGCTGCTATCCGGGGAGCGCTGTCCACGTGCGAAAACAGGAGACTGCAAATGGAACAGCAATGCTGTTCTTGCATGCTGTTCTTCTCACATCTATTTGCGGAATATTCTGTGCCAGCTGTGGATTATGGCCAGCATAACCGAAAGCCCCCAATGTGCCTGGCAACATTGCATATTTAGCTTCTTCGTTCTTTAAATCAGAACGGCTGGAGCCAAGAGCTGTTTCTGTTACGTGACACTGTGGGTGAGGCTTTAACTTTATATTATTTTAGTTAAAAGTTCCCAGAAGTCGATGCCTCAGGACTTGGAACCCACCTAGTCCCAACTGCATGCTCAGTGATTCTGGGTGGGGGGAAACTAAGAGGGTTTTGAAATAGGCTATCTCTGCGCATTCTGGCAAATTGTTCCTGTTCCCATCTATACCCTGCACTGCTCACCTTCGGTTTGTCTCTGCAGCAACCCTCCCAGAGGCTTTGAGGGGAACGTGTGGAGGGTTTTTTGAAGCTTAAAACAAATGGGTGTCCCATAGGACTTCTTTTCCGAACAGCTTTCTGCTTCCCTCCAGTGAACACTGCACAGGCTTGTGTGGCAGAAATTGCTCCTCAGGTGCTGCGAAGCAGAAATCAGGGGGTGTAGCTTTTTGATACTGATATAAATATGGGAGGTTTTGAAAGGGGAGTGTTGTGCCCCCAGGCTGAAATGTGAATGCGTCGGGGAGGGGGTGGGGAGCCCTCGTAATTGCTGCCCGTTGGGTGCAAAACTGGAGTTGGCTGCAAAATAGGAACCGGCTTTTGATTTTCCACTGAGCTTTGGCTCCACACAGCTTGTAAGGCCAGAGGGGAAGGGAAGCCATTTGACGCTCTTTGAATAAACAACTTTGTAGAGACTTGATTTCTACTGAGCTGAGGCTCGGTGGAGCCACCAAGGTGACCCAAATTCTGTGCCAGAAATCTGTATGAACAATGCAAATAATCCTGAATTTTCCCATTTGTGCTTCTGATATTTGCTGGTAGGAAAAAAAACCCTCCAAAGATTTATTCAAGGCTGTGTAGCAGTCCCCATCACTGACGGAACCCTTCTCAGCCCAGCCCCATAACACTGGAGACTTTCCCATACTTTGAAGTGTTTTCAGCCTCACGGGCTAGAAACTTGCTTTTATAGCTGATGTTTGAAGCAGAGATTCTTGGAATACTGAAGTACGTTGGCCAATACCAATTTCTGTTCCTGGGGTGGTGAGACAATGAAGTCATGGAACGAGCACAGCAGCAAAAAGAAAATGAAGCCTTGGAGTTTATGCAGAGAGCAGAGCCATCATCACCGAGCAAAATAAGGCAGACTCTACCAATATATTATTCAGATGCCCAAGCAGCCAGACATTGTGCAAAAACTGTTGAAAGAGAACATGTCGCAACCTGAAAGCTTTACAATAGAAATCTTCAGTTTGTAATCTAAATTTTGCAAAGGGGTAGTGTATCATTTTTATGTGCTGAATATCAGCAAGCAACGCCCTTTCCTTTCCTGGAACGCTGCTTTTCTGTATTGTTGCTGATTTATGGAATGTGGCATCGCATGAAAAAACATTACCGGCTGTATTTTGCTGCTCATCTAAATAGCAACAAGTGTTGCGGCGGAGAGCGCTTTTAAAAAATGGCAAATGGAAAAGGCCAGAAGCATAATGGAGGTGAGAGGTGTCAGGGACTGGCTGGACCGAAGAGGAGTGGTGGGAGCCCCAAGGGAAACCCCAGAGGAGGAAGGATCAGAGCTCGGGGATTGGTGGTGGGACACTGAGGAGAGGTCAGAGGGAGAACTGGATGCTGAAGGGGCAACAGGGTTTAGTGAGCAGGGAGAGCCGGTGACAGGGAGCAGTTCAGACTCAGAGGATGAAGCAGAGGAGGGGGGTTCAAGAGGCTGCTGAAGAATCATGGGAGTCTCCCTCTTCAGCTGCGACAAGCTCCCCTCCCCACTGGTCTCCAAAAACACGCAGGATAATGAAGAGAGCAGAACAGAGGCCAGAGGTGTGCAGACGCAGTTTGAGACTGCTTGGGAAACATCTGGGAGAGGAGGAGCCTTAGACGGGGTGGAAGGCAGGGGCCTTCAGTCCTGGCAACTGCTCCATAGGGGCAAGACCTGCTGAGAAATGTTACTGAACTGTATGCCGTTTCCTTGAATAGAGAGTTAACTTCATTGACAACGGAGCCTTGCATCTCTCGTGCTGACCTGAGTCTGACTCCAGCCCTGACAGCAGGTGATTGAGCCAGTTTTTCTAACCCCGCTGTTCTTTATTTCCCGATTTTGTTCCCCCGCAGTGGCAGGGGGAGACGCAGGAGTTCTGCCCCAGCGCCAAGGTGGTTCTGGTGGGCTGCAAACTGGACATGCGCACCGACCTGAACACTTTACGGGAACTTTCCAAACAGCGCCTTATCCCCGTCACACATGAGCAGGTATGTTGTCGTCGTCATTGTTGTTTTCCTTAGAGCCTGGGCTCACCGTGCGTAACTCAGTGTTAGGCCTCAGTTTCAAGATACGTTAATAAAAACGGAGACTGGCTCTGAGCAGGCGAAAGGTGCATTTCAAGTAAGTGAGATAGGTAGTTCTTGGTGCCAGAAGATGTGGGTGTGAGGAGAAGTGCACTGAATCTCTAACTTCACAAATAATAATAATAATAATAATAATAATAATAATAATAATAATAATAATTTATTTATACCCCGCCCTCCGCAGCCAAGACTGGGCTCAGGGCGGCTAACAACCAATAATAAAAACAAGTTGATTGAAATACAATTTTAAACCCTAAGATATAACATTAAAACATTAGGATGCAGCCTCTTCACAGGAGGAGAAAGGAAAAAGAAAGAGAGGGAGGGAATCAAACTGATTCTAAGCCAAAGGCCAGGCGGAACAACTCTGTCTTACAGGCCCTGCGGAAAGAAATCAGATCCCACAGGGCCCTGGTCTCATGAGACAGAGCGTTCCACCAGGCTGGAGCCAGTGTTGAGAAGGCCCTGGCTCTGGTTGAGACTAATTTAACTTCCTTAGGGCCCGGGACCTCTAGGGTGTTGCTATTTATGGACCTTAAGGTCCTCCGTGGGGTATACCAGGAGAGGCGGTTCCGTAGGTACGAGGGTCCTAGGCCGTGAAGGGCTTTAAAGGTCAAAAGCAGCACCTTAAATCTGACCCTGTACTCCACCGGGAGCCAGTGCAGCTTGAAAAGCACTGGGTGAATATGCTCCCATGGCAGAGACCCTGTGAGGAGCCTCGCTGCAGCATTCTGCACCCGCTGGAGTTTCTGGGACAGCTTCAAGGGCAGCCCCACATAAAGCGAATTACAGTAGTCAAGCCTGGAGGTGACCGTCGCATGGATCACATTAAAAACTTAGGGTTCAGAAGTCTGAAGGATGTATAGATTCTTGCACCTGACATGTGCAGGAGCCAAATGTGTGTATTGCCCCAGTTGACTACAAACACCCAGTGCATGTTAGCTACGTTTATCTTCTCTGGTTTATGCACATGTGTGTGTGTGTGAACTCCCTACCCCCAGAAGTGTTTTCTGGCAAGAAATGAGTGGAAAGCAGGGGGGAAGAAAAAAAAAGGACCGCAGGGCAGGTAATTGCAGGTGATGCGAGCTAACGAGCCAGCCCATGTTCTCAGGGCTGCTAATTAATCTGCAAAGTGGGGGGGGTGATTTCTTTCCCAACCCATATATGGTCACATTTGTAAAGAATTTCTCTCTATCCTTTCTGTGCCGCAGCCCACCCTGTGGCCAATGACATGAGCAGGATAGAAACCAAGGTGAATAAAACCCCAACCCCTTATGTTCAGAGGCAAGTGCATCTGAAGTACCAGGCAGGAAGGGACGAAGTGCCAGAGGCAGCACACTCTGCGATGCTCCTTTTGCACATTCCCCCCCCCGGGGGGTGCAGGGGGCAGAGGGGAGCCGAATGGCAACTGAGAGCATTAGTCTCCGCATGCGCCTTTCGTGCCAACCCAGCAAAGCGAGTGCTTAACATTGCTTTGCACTCTGGCACTCACAAACCCCAGCCTTTTTCTCACCCCTCCCTAGTTTTACACACCAGCCCTTCCTCCCTTGCTTGTTTTGTTATATATATATATTTTAAAAGAAACACTTTGCTCTCTTTCTACCTTCTAGGGAAAAAAACTAAAATTAACTGCTAGCTGTGATGTTAAAGAAACACATGGAGTTAGCAGCGTCTAGGGAAGGTGGTGAGCCGAGAGCTTCTGGTGGGGGCTCCGTATTAGTGCTAGGAGTACGGATTAGAGCCAGTGTGGTATAGTGGTTAAGAGCGGCAAACTCGTAATCTGGGGAACCGGGTTCGTGTCTCCGCTCCTCCACATGCAGCTGCTGGGTGACCCTGGGCTAGTCACAGTTCTCTGAAGTCTCTCAGCCCCACTCACCTCACAGAGTGTTTGTTGTGGGGGAGGAAGGGAAAGGAGAGTGTTAGCCGCTTTGAGACTCCTTCGGGTAGTGATAAAGCGGGATATCAAATCCAAACTCTACTGTGCGTTGTTTTTTTAGAGGACGGAAGGGAGCAGGTCTTGGCAAAATCAAGGGGGAGGCTTATGAAACCAAGGTGAGAGAGAGAGGAAAAAAGCAGAAGAATAAATACGGGGGCCAAATTCTGGCGTAATGTTTTGGCGCTTTTCTTCCCCCCCACTCCCCCCCCCATTCAGGGCAGCATTTTGGCCAGGCAGCTGGGTGCCGTGGCGTATGTGGAATGCTCTTCCAAGGTTTCGGAGAACAGCGTGCGGGACGTTTTCCACGTGACCACCCTGGCGTCCGTCAACCGCATCCACAAGCACCTTAAGCGCAGCAACTCAAAGCGAGGGCTGAAGCGGGCGGCGCAGTTGCCCGCTCGGACGGACTTGTTGACTGACCCCGAGATCCGCAAAGACCGGGCCAAGAGCTGCTCGGTGATGTGAGAGGAGACGGAGGAGACCCCCCTCCCAGGGGCCGAAGCAGAGCACTGCCTGTCTTGTTCATATCTCTTTGTACAGTATTTGGTCAGGGGGAGGTCTCTGCGCCGTTCCCCGGGATGTAGGCCCGAGGAAAAACAGGCAGCCTTCCCCCGGAAAAAAACGTTTCTGCCTGAAGCCGCGAAATGCTATGCATACATTGACAACGTCTGGATGTGGGGCTAGTATTGCACAGGACACAGAAAATGCTCAGGTAGCGGATGACCTCCGAGGAAAAGGAGCGCATCACTGCGTGAGGCACAGATATTGGGGGTTGGGGGTGGGCATAAATCTTCTTATTCTCTTCAGAGCAATTATTTTCGAGCTAGCGTACGATGTGTAGGTTGCCCAGGCCACTGGCCTCTTTGTACAGCCATGGCGTGGGGCAGTCAAGCCATGCCTTTAGCATGTGTACATGTGTGTGCGTGCGTGTTTGTGAATTGTATGCGCAAGGCGAAGTGCGGGGCTAGCGCTCCCGCACGGGTCCGGTCGCGGAATAAAGAGCTGCGGATGGGTTGGCAGAAAAAAGGGTGGTCATTTGAGAAGACAAAATGGCGGCGGGTGTGGGTAGGGTGTGCGTCAGTTTGGCAAAGGCGGGAGAAAGATGGTAGCGGAGGCCGGGGGGTGGGCTGAAACGCTTTGTGGGGGAATGGTAAACAGAAGTGCATTTAAGGCCTTGGACCATGGGGTGGCTTCACTACTGAACAGGTGAGGCACGGCCAGGTAGGTGGCTGGCAGGACAGTTGGAGAGGTCAGGAGCCATCTTTCCTCACAGCATTCTCTCAGTCACACCCTCTAGTGCCTTCAATTGCAGGACATCCGTGCCTCTCTCAATCATATGATTCAAGAGATGGGAATGGGACAAATGAACCTCTTGGAGTCACTCCAGCGTCACGGGAGGAGGCCATTTCCCCCCTGTTGCTGTGCCTTCACACTCTCTTCTTGCTTGAAATGCTTTTGACCACTGCATTGAGGTTGATGCCAAAGCAGAGTTTGGATGGGGGTTTTTTCGTCATATTTTCCCTGGGGAAAAAGGAGGGGAGGAGAAGGAAGGACAGCTCAACTTCTGTGCCACGGGTTAGTAAATTAACCAGGACATTGTTTTGGCAATTTATTGCTGCTGTTGGCTTCCAGATCCGCGGCGCTGCATGGTTCTGGTTTGCGCCAAAGAGAAGTCATTCTTTCCTTTCTCCTCAAAGCGCATTTGCGTCCTTCCCACGTTGTATCTGGACGATGCTGCTTTGGGGCAGCGGGAACCCAGACACGTTTATCGGGAGGTATGGAAATACCGCCATGCAAATTCCCTCTTGAGATGATTTGGAGAAATGGGCTTGATAGACAGGAGCGCAGCGTACGTGTGTGTCAAGAGGCCAGGAGGTATTGTCGCATTAGCATTCATTAAGGGCCCTGGCAGAGAGGGAGGTCGAGCCACGGATTGTTGCCAATGGACAAATCTGCAATGATTGGAGGAGGAGGAGGAGGAGAGGGAGAAAGCTGCTGACTTTGGGCCCTGGACCAGAGAAGGGAACAGAGGTGGCTGTGTGTGTCAAGCAACTTCTTCTTGCAAATCAAAATAATAAGTCCATGCTCCATGCTCCCTAATATATCTGGGAAGCCAGCATTGGGGTTGGGTACCGTTTTAGGTTCTTGATGGGTGTAAAGCTCGTTCTTCCTAAGACACAAACCGATTTAATTTTCACCTCCACCGTTAACTTTTTCCACCCCCTGGTGCCTGCAAAGTGTGATTTGGTTGTGTGGGAAACGACCTCTGCGTATGCTCAGGTGTTCTAGGACTAAGGAAAAATAAAACAAAATCTGGAGCGGTCATGTGCTTCTAACTAAGGGGAGCAAAGGGATTTTGGTGACAGAGCCCTCCCGAGTTGAGCAAATGTCTTGCAGGCTGATCTCATACCCTCCAACATTTCTCTGATGAAATTAGGGGAAACACTGAACATTTTAAAAAAAAAACTTCCCTATACAGGGCTGCCTTCAGATGTCTTCTAAAGTTTGCCTAGTTACTTATCTCCTTGGCTTTGGGGTCGCATAACTCCATACCCTCCAACATTTCTCCGGTGAAAACGAGGATGTTCTAAAGAAAAGTGGGACTTTCTGGGATCAAATCAGAAACCGGGACAGCTTCTGTAAATCCCTGGAAAATGGGGGCATTTGGAGGGTCTGTGATCTACCATGGCAGCACCCACTGAGATCAGGGGGTGGCTAACCTATAACCCTCCAGATGTTTTTGGGTACATGGCAGAATTCAGGCCACAAACTTGCCAACCCTGCTTATAGATCTTGGTTTGAGCTAGGCCTTGGGTGTATCTCTGCATATGACGAAGAAGGGGGCAGTCTCCATTTTCTACCTCTCCTCTGAGCAGCCAGTGCTTTGTCCACACACACACATCAGGACTTCAGGACTCTTGAGATTGCAGTGGCTGCTTTCTACGCTTGGTAGCCAAACCTTCTCCCTTTCGAGTTAGCGGGCTGAGTGCCGCAGTTGCGCTGGCACCGGGGGATCTATTCACGGGCAGGATTAGCCGAGGCTGCCTGTTCATCCTCTCTGCCAAAATGAAATAAAAAAGGCACAATTGTTAACTGCGCTGGGTTTGAGGACAGCGGCTCCATTGTCCTGGCTGGGCAGCAGCTGGTGTTCCAGGATCTCCCTTCCAGCCTCTGCTTGGTCTGGGATTTCGACATGGGGTTATCTCAGTCCACGGTCGTTCATGAGGCTGCCATGGAGAGACCCAAACCCCACACATCCATGCCTTCATTGGTAAAAATTGCATGCGTGTGTATGCGCAAGAGAGGGGAGGGTATCCGGATGGAAGATATGGAACCTTTTATCCCCATATATTTTGCTAGAATCTACTGAAGGAAGGAAACCACAACGATCACCGAAAGATTTTTTGAATTTGATAGAAAAATAATAATAATAAATTTTCGGGCTGAGGTGTTTAATTCCGTTTCTCTTCCTCCTCCCCGACCCCCCGCTCACTCCTGCATCCCCCAATGCAAAATGTTTGGGCTAATTTGGCAGTTAGCAAGTTTTGTTTTGCGTGAGGGACAAAAGTCGGTCAGTTGCTTCGCCTGCCCTGCCAGCTAAGCCAAATAATTCCTTGGAGCTTAGGTATTTTGCCGTCAGCGTATGATTATTATTAGGCTTCTAATACATAAATTGCCTCCCCTGATGAGATGAAAACCTTATTAAGAGAACAATTCTTCCTCGCAGAGTTGTGTTTTTCCTCCTCTCCCTCCTCAATAGCTCCTTTTGCTGCTCCATATTTGGTCTGCACTGGGAAGCATGGATGCTGAAGGAGACGTTTGCCAAATATTCGGGGTTGATGTTGTTTTTTTTGTCACTAGATTACTGGATGCCGTTCCTTTGTCCAGTGTGTCTCAGCCTGTGTTTTGTAATGCAAAGGCCTTGAACAACAAGGGCCCTTTAAGAAGCCGCGAGTGCCTCTGAGCAGGGGCAAATGTACCTATGATTGTGTGGCTAGGGGTTCTGGAAGGTGCCTGTCCTGAATAAAATATATAATTGGCTGCCTTTCCTCTCCTTGCCCATGGCTGATAATGAACTATTAAGTGATGGGCACCTTGGAAGTTAAGAGTAATACATTGCTGCAGTGATTTTTCCTGTCAGGAATGGGAGCCTTCATAATTTATTAATCCTATTTTTAGCATAATAGTTCTGACCATAAATGAACCTCACTAAAGCAAATTTTCGAGGTCTTTATTAATCATTAAATAGCATCCTCTCAGTAAGCTGCTTGAATAAAAGCTTCATTAATGCCCAAATTAACCAGCAGTGGGGCCCTGGGCATGGGTTGAAATTCAAAGGCTCCTTTTTGCAAACAAAAAACCCCAACTTCTCAGTGCCAAATTTGTGAAAGCTAGGAAGACAGGCAAGGCATTTGTAGTCATTGAAAGGAGATTCAGCTATCTTTGATGGTAATCTACCTCAGGGATTATCCTGAAATGTGTTTGAACAGTATAGGAAACCTATGGCTCTCCAAATGTTCCTGGACTACAACTCCCATAATCCCTGGCCGTTGGCTTATTGGGGCTTTAATTCAGCAACACCTGGAGGGCCAAAGTCTGAGAATAGTCAGAATATTCCTCAGAATAGTCTACCCTGGACTCTGCTTCTATGTTTACCTCACTTCCACCTGGTTTGTAAAGCCAGCAAGAGTCAATGGAGTCTGGTGGGTGGGAAGGAAGAGCTTGTCTTCATCTCTGAAGTGGGCATGTTTTTAATTCCTGAAGATGTTCCTGGAACGTGTCCAAAATAATCAAGGGCCTGGAAACCAAGCCTTATGAGGAACGGTTGAAGGAGCTGGGTATGCTTAGCTTGTAAAAGAGGCGACTGAGAGGAGATACGATAGCCATCTTCAGATATCTCAAGGGCTGTTCCATGGGAGAGGGAACAAGCTTGTTTTCTGCTGCTTTTGAGGGTAGGACTTGAACCAATGGCTTCAAGTTACAAGAAAGGAGATTCCGATTAAACATCAGGAAGAACTTTCTGACAGGAAGAGCCGTGAGACAGTGGAACTGTCTCCCTCAGGAGGTTGTGGACTCTCCTTCCTTGGAGGTTTTTAAGCAGAAGTTAGGTGGCCATCTGTCATGGATGCTTCAGCTGAGATTCCTGCATTGGGGGGCTGGACTAGATGACCCTTGGGGTCCCTTCCAACTCTACAATTCTATGATTCTAAGTAGTGGTGGGCTTGAAGTCTACCTGCCATGACGCTATGGCTGCTGCCTTGGTGGCAACCCTCAAGTGTGTGGTTGTAGCTACTTGGTAGTGAAGGGAAACCCACTCAGGTTCATTGCTGTCAACTTACAGATTTGAAAATAAGGGGCCAGCAGCCTCGAAAATAAGGGATCTGCAGCCAAAATAAGGGATTTTCCAAGCACAGGTATGTTCAACTTCTGAGCCCCTCTGAGGCAAAGGCAGAAAGCCCAGCCAGCAGCCAAACGAAGCCTCAAGCGGTGGTTCCCACAGCGCTGCAACCCGGCAAAGGGGATGCAGCAAGGAAAGCCACCGTCACCTCTCCGCTGGGAAGCGCTGAGCAAAGGCGAGTCCCCAGGCAACGCGGCTGATTTGATCGGCACAAGGCATGCAAGCTCCACCCCCCAGTCGTTCTTAGACTCCTTATTGGGTGAGCAGCACAGCCAAGCAACACAGCTGGAGCCACCCTGGCTGACAGGGAGGGAGGGAGAGGAGTTGCTTCCTTTGAAACCCGGGAAATTTAAGGGACATCATCAATAAGGGACAGCAGCGGGACACAGCGCTGGGATAAGGGACTTTCCCACCAAATAAGGGACAGTTGACAGCTATGCTCAGGTTCAGTTTCCTTCTCTCTAAGCAACACTGCAAGGTCCAGGCAGGAGCCCTGCTTCCAGAGTTGGAGAGTGAACAGATCTTGTTTATGAGCTTTTGCTTTCCTTGGGGTTTGTTGCTACTTGAACGATAACGCTCCGCTCACGAGTTTTATCTGCCTGTCGTTGCTAGGCATTGCCCCGAGGTGCAGAAGGAGTTGGCTGGAGATCAGGTGGCTTCCTTCAACCTTGTTCTATAATCCCCAACAGAGAAGTGTTTGGGAATCAGGTTTATGGAACTGGAAGGGAGACCGAAAGGCTCTCCTTTCCAGGACTTAACACCCACAAAGGCCAGTCCACGAAAGCCGTGTGCTACAAGTCGAGAGTAGGGGTCCTCTTCTTAAAAATACTGTTATCTCCAGCAGTTTTCTTATTCACGTGGCTTATTGCTTATCTAGACAAAAACAAGCTGTTGACATAATTCCCAAGTGGGACTTTCTACCTTTGCAGCTGCAGGGAAAGCTGAGCAGGCTTTTTGCAGGTTGGGGTTAAAGCATCAGAATAATAATAATAATAATAATAATTTATTATTTGTACCCCGCCCATCTGGCTGGGTTTCCCCAGCCACTCTGGGCGGCTTCCATAGAAACCAAAAACCCCACTAAAATATCATACATTAAAAACTTCCCTGAACAGGGCTGCCTTAAGATGTCTTCTGAATGTCAGGTAGTTGTTTATCGTTTTGACATCTGATGGGAGGGCATTCCACAGGGCAGGCGCCACTACCGAAAAGGCCCTCTGCCTGGTTCCCTGTCCAGAAGGAAGGCTGTCCTCATTCGCTGCCTATTGGCAAACCTTACAACATCTCTCCGATGAAAATAGGGACGTCCTATTCAATAATTATAATTTTATTATTTATACCCCGCCCATCTGACTGGGTTGCCCCAGCCACTCTGGGCGGCTTCCAATATATATAAAAACATAATAAAACATTAAACATTTTTTAAAAAACTTTTTAAAAGCTTCCCTATACAGGGCTGCTTTCAGATGTCTTCTAAAGGTTGTCTAGCTACTTATCTCCTTAGCTTGGGAGTCACATAACTCCATACCCTCCACCTTTTCTCCAATAAAATAGGAAAATTAGGGCATTCCGGGATCAAATCTGAAAGTGAGATGGCCTCTGTGCATCTGGGACTGTGCCTGGAAAATAGGGATACTTGGAGTGTTGGTATTGGTGGAGGTTGGACCATGCCCAACAAAATTTGCTTCTCCCTTTGCAAAAATTTCTTAAGCTGGTGATTCATTAACAGCCAGCTCTTCGGAAGAGTTCGACCAAAGCAGAAACTTGTGACTGTCACAAGCTGTGGCTGCCATTTTCTTTTGGGAACCAAAGAACCCAAAATGAAAGACTTCCAAGGAGGAGCAGTTGCCAGGACATTACCCTGTTCACCTCCACGTTTCAGACATTGTGATATATATATATTGGTATATCATGATGTTTAGCTA